CTCTGTGGAGTCCTGGGACTGTGAACCTGCCCCCTCACACCTGGCCAAAGTCACACTGGGTGCTGGTGCCCCTCCCCACCAGGATAGAACTTCTCTGCCTTAGGCAGAACCCCTGAGCTGTGCAGGGGCCTCTGTGCACCCCGGATTCCTATGTGCCGGCCAGTGCACCTCTCCGTGTGGTAATCTCTCCGATGTAAGCACCAACCACGGGCTGTGGAATTGCTCCCAGGGTCCAGTAGGGCCAGTCTTGCCACCTCACTCTTCCCCAGAAGGCTGGGTCCTGTGCCACCCTCTGCTCCCTGTTTGAGGCTTTTTGCTGTTATTGAGACAGGGGCTGCCTGTGTAGCCTATGCTGGCCTCAAACTCACTGAATAGGCCGGGATGACCTTGAATGTCCACCTCCCAGCTGTTAGGATGCAAACCACACCAGTTCTTTGTGTTGTTGTTTGAGACAGGGTCTCACTTTATAATTCTTTGGCTGGTCTGGAACTCACAGTCATCCCCCTGCCTCAGTCTCCCATATGTCAGGATGGCAGGCCTATGCTTCCATGGTTGGGTAGAAAATGGAATTTTTCCTGGTTTGGTAATGGACTTCTCTGGTGATAAAAAGCGAGTCCCAGGCCGGCAATATGGCTGAGAGGGTAAATCCAAGCCCAAAGACCCACATGGTGGAAGGAGAGAGCCGACTCAGCACATGTGCTCTGGCACTTCAGCCCACGAAGTAAATAAATAACATTAAAATGTAATCTAAACACTTCTTAATATTTCAAACAGCCAAGTTCCTTCTCCCTCTTCTCTCTGTCTCACGAGCACTCCGAAGACCCCAGGGCTCCTCCCAGCTCTGCAATGGCGCCCTCCGGAGCGCAGCTGTGCCGCACAGCTTATGGCCCACCATGTCCGCTGTGCGAGGCTCGCCTGCAGACCGCGCCGGCCTCCAGACCACACCGGCCTGCAGACCAAACCTGCCTCCAGACCGCACCGGCCTCCAGACCACACAGTGCCTACCTAGCTGGACCCCACTGTGATGCTGGTGTCTCTGGGACAGACTCGGGATTTCCCTGGGCCCCAGCCCAGCCAAGGACCTCAAGGTCATACTGAACCTTTTGGAGTCACGGAACATTCCAGACAGACATGTCTAGGTGCCAGAAACACACTCTGATCCAGGCCCCCAAACCAAAGCAACCAGGCCACAGCCCTGACCCACGCCCCAGTTACCCTCTCACCCGCACAGGCCAGGGCCACATATCCAATCTGAGATGCAGCCCTGCCAAACCCATCACCATATCCCTCGCTCTGCACCCCAGGACTGGGACCTGGTCTTAGTTAGTGGAACACCCATCATCACAGCTCTGGGGAGGTGGAGGCAGGAAGATCGAGATTTCAAAGTCATCTTCACCTACATTGAGAGTTCCAGACAAGCCTGGGTTACATGAGACAGACAGAACTGGGGAAATGGTGTAGGGTTTGAAGGTCTGTCATGGGAGAGCCAAGTTGGATGCTCACCACTCACCAGGGGGAGGAGGACCTCTCCAGCTCCGTGCTCCTTCTGGCTGAATTGCTGAGGTCCTGGTTCAGTGAGAGATCCTGCTTCAAAACCAGACCGTGGATGTTTGAGAGACTCGATGTAAACCCCACCCTACACAGAAGCTGTGCCGAGTCAGCACCTGGCACTGGGTCCTCAGTTTCCCCATGTGACCCCTGCCACAGACCCCCAAGGTATGCATGACCCGGGCGGGGGGGCTCTGCTCATCCCGCTGTCACCCCAATCCCTGGGTCTCCAGGTGGCCATAGTGAAGGATGCTGGACTTCCCCAGAAGAAACAGACTGGATCTCTTCAGAGCACCCCCACAGTCTGGCCTGGGTTTGCTCTGCTCCAAGACTGTTGCCGAACATTGTCAGTCCCCGAAGCTGACCTGGGGTGACTGTACTGGGACAGGGCTGTTTCCTACTGTCCCGATGGCGCTCAGAGTTCCCATATCTCAACAGATAGACCACAGACAAGGACTCTCTGGTGCTTTGGGTCAGGGTTAAATAGACTCGGGCAGCAAGAAAACACGTTATTTCCAGCTCCAGGCTTATTTGTCACAGCCTGAAGCACAGCAGCTGTGCTCGGGTCTGAGCACCTGGGGGGCTGAGGCAGGAGGATTGCTGTGTGTTAGAAGTCAACCCTGGTTACCTAGTTGACTCTGTTGCAGTAGTGATGATAATAGTTATCATTATTTAATCCCATTAATAAATTATTACTTAATCCCAGTACCCTGAAGGCAGAGGCAGGTGGATCTCTGTGAGTTCAAGGCCAGTCTGGTCTATGGGAGACAGTGAGACACTGTCTCAAAACAAACAAAAAAGTAACAAAACCCTAAACAAATAAAAGAGAGAGCAAGTGTGTTTTTCCCCAATTTTGGTACCCACCCCAACATAGGCCAGAGAAATCATTGACCCCACAGTACTGGTAAGGAAACAGAGACACTCCCTGGCGGTCACCCTCCAAAGAGTCTGGTTGCCAGGGAATCCTGTAGAGGGCCCTGCCCCACAGGCACCGGTTGCTATGGGGAAGAAGAGCCTGCAACAGCTTGAGTTTCCAAACCGTGAGGTTTTCCTTCTTTATTTATTCTTTTTTTCTTTTCTTTCTTTCTTTTTTTCTTTTTTTTTTTTTTTTTGGTTTTTCGAGACAGGGTTTCTCTGTGGTTTTGGGGCCTGTCCTGGAACTCGCTCTTTAGCCCAGGCTGGTCTCGAACTCAAAGAGATCCCCCTGCCTCTGCCTCCCGAGTGCTGGGATTAAAGGCATGCGCCACCACCACCCGGCTATTTATTCATTTTTGGCTCAGTGGATGAATCCAGGTCTCTGCCCCTGAGTACCACTGAGGCTGGAACACAGCCCCCAAGGCATCACGGCCTCTGCAACCCCCAGGCCTTTGCATGTACTCCCTGCTGGGGGAGGCTGTGGCCTCCGTGAAGGTCCACGCCCGATGCCCGTCCACGCCCAGGGTGACCCTTTGGCAGGACTTGATTAGGGGGTGCCTGTGTGTTTAAACTGCTTCTGAATGTCCCTAAAATTATTTTATTATTATTATTATTATTTTATTTTCAAGACAGGGTTTCTCCGTAGCTTGCTTTTGGTTCCTGTCCTGGAACTAGCTCTTGTAGACCAGGCTGGCCTCAAAGTCACAGAGATCCACCTGCCTCTGCCTCCGGAGTGCTGCCCGGCAATTATTTTATTATTTAAGATATTTATTTGTTCTGTGTGGGGTGGGGACTGTATGTGCCTTGGTGCTCCTGTGCAGGTCACAGGACAGCTGGTGGGATCCAGTTTCCTCCTTCCATCATGGGGGGTCCCAGGGATCGAACTCAGGCCATCAGACTTGGCTGCTGAGCCATTTCCCCTGCCCCTTCCTGCCCCTTGTTGATGGGAAGCACTTGGAGCATGCAAATGTCCTTTTCTCTGCAAGATCACACCTTCATCCAACAGGGCAGGAGGACTGGGAGTTCCAGGTCAGCCTCAGTTACACAGTGAAACTCTGTCTCAAGTAGGAAAAAAAAGAATAAAAAGAAAGTCTCATGTTCATCTGAAATGGAGCTGGCTGGAAACCTGCATTTTGTGGGGTTTTACATTTCAGTGAGAAAGCCAAGGCCCAGAGAGGCCCAGGAACTGCCCTTGGTGGCACAGCCAGATGGCAGATCACCATCAGCACCGGCATCTGCTGGCATTGCCACATTGCCCGGCTCCTGTGGCCCAGTCTTCACCACAGATTCCATTGCCACTGACACTGGATACTTGGTAAACATGGTCCCCATGGGAGCAGCTGTGAGTTCAAGGTGGGACAGGGCTCCTGCCAGGCGAGGCTCCTGCCGTGGTGATGGCAGGAGCTCTGAATTCGGACACTTTTGATGTCTCTCAGGCAGGCCAACAAGTTCCCACATTGACCCAGCGCCCAGCTGTCCACAGGCTGAGGCAGGAGAATAACCGTGAGCTCTAGGCAAACTCACTGCCTCAACAAATAAACAAAAGTAGCTGATTATGTGGAGGCCCGTGTACCCGGCCCGTGTACCCGGCCCGTGTACCCGGCCCGTGCAGCCCCCTGTGTAGCCGTGTACCGTACCCAGCCAGGTGGGCACGTTTGAAAATGTGGTCCTGTTGTCTGTTCTTTCTCTGTTGTGCTGGCTGGCAGGATGGAGGAACAGACCCATACAAGACACAAAACATCCTGGGACTGTGGGGTCAGAGTCAGGCTGGCCAGAGGTGGGGCTGAGGAAAGGCAGGGAGGAAGACAAGCCCAGCATAGTCAGGGTATAGGTGGGGTTTTGAAGAGTTGCCAGCAAGAATGAGGCGTCCTGCTGGGCGATGGTGGAGCACGCCTTTACTCCCATCACTCTGGAGGCAGAGGCAGGCGGATCTCTGAGTTTGAGGCCAGCCTGGTCTACAGAGTGAGTTGCAGGACAGCCAGGGCTACACTAAGAGAAACCTTGTCTTGAAAATCAAAAATAAATGCATAAATAAATAATTCTTAAAAATAAAATAAAAAATAAGAAAAGAAAAGAAAAAAGAATGCCCATGTGACCAAATTGGATCTGGGGTCTGCTGTCTCACCAGAAACCAGCGGGGTCACAGGGAGATAGATGCACAGGCGTAGGACAGTGTTGTATGCTGTGCGGCCCCTGCAGGGAGCAGCTTGTGCTTGGGAGGGGACTCTGCAGTCCTCAGGCAGTCCTGAACCTGCCGGCCCCCTTCCCACCCACAGTGGCCCACCTGCTTGTTCTGGGGAGGACAGTGTTCCAGAGCTGAGGAAACACCAGATTTTCAGGGCCTGCAGCTCCATCCCTGGGGCCTCCCAGGACCACCTTCCTTCAGTCCCAGTCCCTTCACCACCGTGACTGTCCCCAGCATCTTTGACTGATGTCTGCCATGTGACCACACAGGCAGGCCTGTGCTTGGAACAGTCTTTCCTGGCAAACTCCTCTTCATCCATACAAACCCCAACTCCAGTCTCTTCTCTTTCTAGGACCCTCCAGAATAGCTCCTCCCATGCTCCACCTTGGCTTTGTATGGCAGGGACTCTGCCCCCATCCAGGAGTCCTGGAGATTCTGCCCTATCATCTTAGTCACTGCGGCAAATGGGGCTTCGATCACCGCTGCTGAGTCCCAGTCTAATTGGCCCGGTGGGGTCGGTGGGGTCGTCAAAAGCCAATCCATGGCTCTGCCTGACTGTGATCAAGGGGAGCCTGGAAGAGCTCAGGGCTGACTGGGAGGGGGCGGACCCCACAGGGCTTTGTGTGCCTGGCTTGGGGTCCCTTCTTGCCCACCCTGACTGTGAGGAGCCCTTGACAGTTTCCCTGCAGGGGGATTGCTCTCTTTAGGTCCTTCTCCTACCCGGGCTGTCTTTCTGTCCCCCGCTGGCCGCGGCTGGCCCCACCCCCAGGCTAGTCAGCGCTTCCTCCTCAGCTTTTTCCGGACTTTCCTAAATGCCACAAACAACGGGAGGGATCAGGGCTGGGGCGCAGAGGGCAGAGCGCTCTGGCAAAGCATCCAGGAACACATACACCACGCACACTGGTTGTGACAGACATAGGCAGGGGGATCAGGCGTTCAAGGCCAGCCTGGGCTACCCAAGAGTGTCTCATATGCAAACAAAAATAAAAGCAAACGGGGTCTGGAGGACAAGTAGCCAGAGCAGCTGGCGAAGCACGCGCAAAGGTCCTGGGGTTGGGGCCCACTCTGCTTCCTCAGGAAGATCCGGAGCTGGAAGGGGACCCTGGAGGCTGCGCTGGCGGGAGGTGGGTACAGGGTGTTCTGTAATCGGAGCCCAGCAGGACAACAGCCCCTTCTCCGGCACCCCAGGGCCCCATGCTCCGGACAGAATGTGCCCGGGGAGACACAACGAGACGGCGAGGGCGGCCGGGACCGTGGGTAGATTCCTGAACAGCCGCCTGGTCGGGACAGCTGCCAGCTTCAGAACAAGTGTCTGTGCCTTTGCGCACCTGTCACGCTGGGGCCCAGAGAGAGAAAGGGGTGTCTGGAGCTTGACACTGAGCCCTGATCAGTCAGATTCATGGGGGTCTCGGAAGCAGGTGCAGGGAGGTGACCCCAGAGTCCTGCGCCCTGACTGTGAGGCCTTGAGCCACTGCTGATTCAGCAGAGGAGGAGGGGCCTGAGTAGCACAGCCCCGCTCCTCAGTCCGGGGACCTCGGAGCCAGCTCCATCCTCCCGTTACCCGGAAAACCCTTCTGAAAGAATCAGGTTCCTCAGCTGCTGGCTCAACTGTCCCTGTCAGCTGTCGGGGGCTCGAGGAACTGTTGTCCCGTGTCTGCTCCCGGGACAAACTATGTGGTTCAGGAGCGCAGCTAGAAGCGGAATCCTAACCTCACGTGATGGGGACCCCTCCTCAGCTGCACACTTGGGTTTAGGGGTCTTCCTAACCACGCCCTAGACACCCCGAATCTCCGCGACTGTCCTGTATGACCCCAGGACCCCAGCTCACAGGGCCTGGGACTCACCTGTCTCTGTTTCCAGTGATAGGATTAAATAATAACTAATTAATGGAATCCATTATCAATGTTATTATTGCCACAGTCTCATTAGGTAGCCTCCCGCCTCAACCTCCTGAGGGCTCAACCTGCTTCTAGCTGTCTGTATTCACAGGCTGTGTGGTAGCACTGGGTGATCGCATGCAGAAACCACGCCTAGAGCTCGAGGCCCCTTCCCCACCTTCGTGAAGACTGATACACACAAAACAACAAATATATTTTTTTTTGGCTTTTTGAGACAGGGTTTCTCTGTGTAGCCCCAGCTGTTCTGGAACTAGCTCTGTAGACCAGGCTGGCCTAGAACTCATAGAGATCTGCCTGTCTCTGCCTCTGAGTGCTGGGATTTAAAGGCGTGCACCAGCACCAACACCCAGCCAAATAAATCTTAAAAAACAAAACAAGAAAAAGACATAGACAGACTGGTGACCAGAGGCAGGAAGGTGTGTGAGGAGGGCATGGGCCCCAGTTAAGTCCCTGGAGGGGATCGGAGTTTTACTGGTCTTCAGGGGCCATGGGCGAATAAGGTGTCAGCTCAGTCTTTCCCGTTTTTATTTATTCATTTTTAATGTACAAAGGGTGATGAGTTCTTCAGACGTGGGCATGGCAAATCCCTGGCAGGGCTGTGAAGAGGGGAGCTTTCCCAGTTGCTCCCGGGCACCTGTTGCCCCTTTGGTGACCTGCCAGGCTGCCGTGTCCTTGTCTGGATTCTACCCTGAGCAAGGCCTGAGCTTCTCGTGGCAGAGCATGCGGGCGGCTCTGGACTCACCGGGCCACCAGTCCTCAGAAACTGGCAATCTTGGACCCTCAAGTCCCACAGAGCCTCGGTCTGTCCTGCTCACCTTACAATGTGGCCATATTTAAGATGCCTGCACAACTGGGCTCCCGCCCCTAGGTTGCAGACGGTGGGACTGTGAGCTCCGACCATCTCCTCTGTCCCGTCTGCATGCTGAGCTCCTCAATGCCACAGCCTCGCTGAAACTTCCTCTGTGGGCCTTTGGCCTCCCGTCTGGTTCTGGCTTCTCCCAGATTCATCTCTCCCAGACTGTAACCCTCTAGGGATCTAGCACTGGTCAAACACAGAGAACTGGAAGCCTCAGGAGGACCCCAGTCCACAGAAGTCACGCGCTGCTCCTCAGTCCTGTGTGACGGCAGGAGACCCTCGGCCTCCTGTTTTCCCAAAGCAGACAGCTGGACTGCAGTGGCCAGAGAAACGTGAACCTACCGAAGTGTCCGCTCACACATCAGCAGGTCATGCAGCGTGGCCTCACAGCCTCTGAGGGGGGGTTAGGATCCTCCTGACAGACAGAGTCCCAGTGAGTTGCCTCGTCCACCCTGCCAGCCCCAAGCTCAGAGAACAGGCAGTTAGGGGTCACCAGGAGGGCATGAGGCTGAGCATATGCTCGGGAGCTCATTTCCTCTATGTAGCCCAGGCTGGCCTGTCTCTTGTGTTCCTCCTGCCTCAGCATCCCAAGGGCTGGGGGGAGGGGAGGGTAAGAAGCCCATGTGACTCAGCAAACCCCGCCCCCCCCCAGCTAGAGAGGGCACAAGCAGTTTACCTCAGAGTACAGTGGAGGCGGGTGGTAGCGGAAGTCATGGAGACAGGCAAAATAGGGCCCTTCCAGAGTCACACCCGGGTCCCGCAGCAGGGGTAAGGGCCCCAGTGAGGCAATTGGCAGCAGGCTGTCCCTCACCACCTCTGAGTACTCAGGGGGTGCTGGAAGGGAGAGATGAGACCGGGCTTCTGGAGGACCCGTGGCCTTGACATGACTATGACCAAGCCTTTCGCCTTTCCCCCCTAGGGACAGTTGCCCAGGCTGACTTCCAACTATAGCAATCCTCCTGCCACAATTGGTTTGGTTTTGTTTTTTTGAGGAAGGATCTGAGTGTAGAGCAGGTTGCCCTGGAGCACACAGCGACAGGTCCCCTTGTGTTTGCCTCTGTTGCTGCCTGGCACTAAAGGTGTGTGTCACCATGCCCTGCTGGGTCTCCTACAGTCCTGGTTAGGTTTTGAATTATTAAGTAGGGGAGGCTGGCCTTGAACCGTCCCCCAGTCCTCGGTGTGCAGGGATGGTGGGTGCTGGGATTAGACCATGCTTGCCTAGAGACCCCTGGACTGGAGGGTGGGACCGGGCCGCGGCTCCACCTGCCCACATCCTTGGTTGCTGACTGAGCTCACCCTCTGGCGCCTCCAACTGGGTGCACAGGCCCCAGTTATGCAGGAAGCTGGCTCGGCTGCCTACGCTGGCCGAGCGACTGCCCAGGGGGTGCAAGGGGACCGTGCCGATGACCAATGGCAGCTCCAGCAGCAGCTTCGAGGAACCTGGGATGTCCACGCAGACCTGAAGGGAGAAGCGGCGATGTGGACAACTACCCTACCTGTGCCCTCCACCCTGGCCCGAACAACGGGGTGGAGGGAGGCTTGCTGGGTACCTTGAGGGAATAGTCCACACTGAGCACGCAGCAGTGCAGGATGGACGGGCCCACTGGGGGGATGCGCAGCGCGCGACCGGGCCACAGCGCACGGCAACCAGGGCCCACGGGCTCCCCGTCTACACTGGCCACCACAGTGCGCTTCTGCTTGCGTGCACCTCGGGCCATGAAGGTCTGTGTCTGTACCAGGGCGGCGCGGGTCTGCACAGGTCGCGTGGAGCCATTGTCAATCTCCGCGAAGATAGGGATGACCTCACCTACAGCACAGAGCAGCTTGCCTCAGTTTCCCCATTGCTAGCTCTTCCTACTCCAGCCGCATCCCTTCCCACTTGTTACCCGGAGTGTAGCCCTTGCGGTCGATCTTGGCTGAGAGAGTGACAAGACCATGGTTGCAGTACCAGGATCGAGCCACCTTCTCCCGGGCTCCAGCCTGCGGTTCCTGTGGGGACACTAAGGGTCACTTCAGGCACATGGACACTTGGGGCTTCTATGTTAGAGGGACCCTAGTTTCAGAAAGAAGATGGGACAGGGAGAACGGTGCCTGTTTTAGGCCAGCCACCCCTACAAAATGTGACCCTGTCTAAAGAAACCAAAAGTTGAATAAAAAATTAAAACCAAGAATAGGTGTGGGGTGCACACCTTTAATCCCAGCAGACAGATCTCTGTTGATTTGAGGACAGAGACCAGTCAGGGTTACACACACGGGTTTGTAAAATTTAAAAAAGAACAAGAAAGAAACAAACAAATCTCAAAACCAATAAAACAAAAAAGTGCAAGCCCTACTGTGCCCCGTTTCCCAAGCGGGGCATCTAAGACTGAGGTAGGGCAAGACACTCGCCCAGAGAGAGCCACACAAGTGGGTGCCTTCAGGGTTTTCACCCGGCTCTAGCAAGTCACCTCTAACTTCTGGCTCCTCTGTTTCAGAGACCGCCTGTAACTCCCAACTCCGGAAGACGGCGGAGAGGCCAGGTCGGACCCCACCTTGCCCCCCACGGGGCAGCCACGTACCAGCAGGGCAGGTGTGTTTATGTCCACGGGTTCAATGACAGTGAACACCTTCCGGGCGCGGCGTGCGGGGACCCAGGGCCGATGCAGGGTGGCTTTGATGGAATAGCGGACGCTGCCGTGTTTGCCCTCGAAGGATGTCACTAGGGAGCTGGAGTGGCGAGAGGCGGTTCAGGGTAGGAGACAGAGGCATGCAAGTGAAGTCCCGAGGAGTTAGGGGTCGGAGGAGCGCAGATGCCCAGCGGGTGGACGACAGCGGGGCTTACATAGGCAGCTGGAAGCTGAAGGGAAACTCGTGACGTCCGGCGGGCAGAGTGGCGATGTCCCCCGAGTCTAGGAGAAGACAATGGACTCAGCGGACGCGGGCTTGGGGATCGCCTGCTCGGGGTCTCGGGGGTCCCCAGCCTGTACCTGGCGCGAGCAGCGTGGCGCGGTGGTTCACGACTTCCACGCGCTCGCTGTAGCTCTGCGTATACGCGGTGCTGGAGCCAGCGCTGCGCGACTCGGTCCAGTGTGCGAGCGCGCGGCCCCGAGCGCGCAGCCTGAGCGCGCCCACGCGCGCCGCCCCCGCCAGCTCCAGCAGTACCCGGCCCGCCACGGCCTGGCCTCCGTGGAACACGGGCTCGGTGCCCGCGCGCGCCCCGTCCAGCTGCACCACGAAGGCCTTCACCTTGTCGAACAGCATCGCATTGACCGACGCGAACCCAAAAGAAGGCCGACCCGGGGCTCGAACCCGCGACACGGAAGACCGAGCGGCTGGGAGCGCGGCAAGTTCGAACTACGCCCGCGGACACGCAGGCCAGCAGGACCCGAAGACCGCTCGGGACTCGCGCGCGGCGCGGCGGGCTCTTATACGGCGGGGCGGGGGCGGGGCCTGCGGAGAAGGCCGCACCTACCGGAAGAGGCTCCGTCAAAAGCGCCGATGGGGGCGGGGCCAGAGAGGGAAAGCCGCGACCCCTGGGAGCCAATAGTGTGGCGAAGGAATGGCCTGAGAGAAAGCCACGCCTCCCGGAAGAGGAACCACCAATAGCGCGGCTGGGAGGCGGGGCCTGGAAAACCCGGCTTTGCCGAACTGGACCAAAGGTTCCTCGAGGGCCGTGGCCTGAGAAAAAGCCGCGCCCCCTAGAACGGTTACGCCGTAGCGCAGGGGCGTGGCCTGGGGGGCCCGCCCCTCCTACATTAGCATCGAGGAGGCGTGGTCTGGTGGGAAAATTCACCAATAGCACCGGGGGGCGGGTCCTCTTAGGCTCCGCCCCAAGCTGACCCTCGGTGGGCGGCGTTGCGGCGAGGGTGGCCCTGAAGTGGGGACCCGGTCTGAGGCGCAAACTTTGCAGCTGTCACTGTTTTTTCGTTGTTTGTTTTGTTTTTGAAACTGGTTTTCATGTAGTCCAGGCTGGCCTGGAGCTCGAGACAGTCCTGCGTCATCCTCCTGAGGGCTCGGATGGCCGCCTTAGTCACGAAACCTGGCTGCCTTTCTTTATTTCGGCTGTTCTGAGAAAGACCTGGCTGGTTTGGAACTCACTCGTGTACACCGAGTGCTGGGACAAAAGCTTCCTTTCCTTTGAGGCCGGGTCTCACACAGCCCGGCTGGCCTCCAGTGCGCCATGCAGTCAAGCCCCGAGCTTCCAAGGCTGGGTTTGCGGGCGTTTGCCACGACGCCTGGCTCTTTCTCGCCCACGGTGACCCAGGCTGTCCTGGAACTCAGGGCCATGGAACCCCGTCTCTCTCAGCACTGAGTTGACAGACGTGCACCACTAGGTCTCAGTTTCCCAGCCTCATCATCAGCTTGCTGCCACCTGCAGACCCCCGGCGGTGCGGATTGGTGGGGGTACCCCAGGTTGGGCACCCCCGTCAAAGGACAACCGCTTCGTGCCTTAATTTCCACTTCCACAGGGCGTGGCAGAAGTCAGTCCTGGCCACAGAATGTGGCGTGTGGATCGTCGTGCATACCCGGCTCGAGTCCGGGAGACGCTCTGACTTCGAATTGTGTCTGGGGACAGCGTGACCCTTCTCGGGGACTCAGTTTCCCCTCAGAGCTCTCAGGGGATCCAGCCCGGCGTTTGTGGGACGCGCGCGCCCCCTGGTGGACCAGGGATGCACCGAGGCTCGTATTCACTCCTGGAGTCCAGCTGCACGGACACGGGGATCCCAGAGGCTGCTGCACGGTCACGAGGGCGTCACGCACCGCCACCTCCAGCGTGGGAGTCAGCGCTGAAGGGCGCGAGCGGCAGTGACAAGGGATTCGGACTGGAGGACCAGAGTTCTTGGCCAGGAGGGCAGAGCGGGAACTGAGTGCAACACCTCCAGCAGAGCGAGTGTACCACAGATGGGCCTCCACAGGCCCAGAGAGGACGCGGCCTGAGGTCACACAGCAAGTCAACCGCCGCCACCTCTCAGAGAAAGTCTGGGTCGCTTCAGGATTTCCCTTGGTTCCCACAGACCACCAGCTCAGCGCTGTTGAAAGCGCAGCCTTTGCTTCTGCCCCGCCCATTTCACAGTCGGGTACCCTGAGACCTGGAGCCCATAGAGGCGGTGACATCTGCCCTGCACACACAGCTGGCGCTGGGGTAGGACTCCGTAGGTGAGGCTGAGGTGGGAAGGCTATGATCACGATATATAGTGAAAGGTCCCCCAACCCCCACAGTTTCCTCCCCGGTGGGAGACATTCCTACCTGACCCACAAACACCATCATACTCTCCCCTACTCCAGAGAAAAGCAGAGTAGCAGACACTGCAAGGTAAACTGAGGCAGGGTTCTGGGTGCACGAAGATACGGGGCTTCTTTGAGAATTGGGGCCCCCACACCTGGAAGGCCTGAACAGGAGACTCCCTAGCCCACCCAGGGGTTCAGCAGACCCTGCATGGGGGACGGAATCCCTCCATCCACTTTAATTGGGGTTGTACCATTTTTGTGATACTTCTGTGTCCAGGTTGCTATAGTTCTGAGATGGGGACGCAATCCAAGCAGGGGTACTTCACCCAGTGAGAAATCGACAGTCTATTATAGCCCAGGCTACCCTCAAACTACTGTGAACTGTCCTCCTGCCTCAGGCTCCCCTGTGCTGGGATGATAGACGTGTGCAACCACACCCAACTGTTGTTTCCCACGTGTTGAGAGAGGGTCCCGTCCCGTAACTCTGGCTGGTCTTGAGCTGGCAATCCTCCGGCCTCAGCTTCCTGAGTGTCTTCTGCATAGGGCGCCCCTGCTTTCTGCGAGCTCAGCTGGGGAGCAGCACCCACCGCCGTCGCAGGTAGGTTTCAGCTGCGGTGAAGTCACTGGCCACGGTGTTCACGCCTTCGCTGCGCGCCTCCGGCCAGTGGGTTGCCGCCGGGCCACCAGCGCTTGCACTCGCAGCGGCGCTGCCGCCTCGGGCAGCACCCAGCCCAGCAGCCGCTGCTTCCCCCCCCCCCCCCAGCCCCGCACACCGCTGTGCGCAAAGGTGCGCAGGGAGCCCAGCCCCAGGCCGGGTCCCCGCACCCCGTCGGGACTTCCTGCTTCAGCGGGACTCAGGCCAGGGCTGGGACTGATGTAGCGCTGCCTGCTGTCCGAGGCGACCTGGGGCCCCACAGCTGCGTTTTATACTATTCTGCCCGCCCAGCCTCCCTGCAACGCACTCACCTAGATCCTGCCCTGAACCTTTGTATATGCAGAGTTTGAGGACTCTGTCGTCCTCTCCTCTACTCCCAAAAGTCACCACCAAGGAGTGCCAGGTCACCTCCAGCCGTGTTTATTTTTTTGCCCCCTTCCCCAGTTCTCACCGTGTAGCTACGAAACTCAGAGATCCTCTGCCTCCCAAGTGTTGGGACCTTGGCATGCAACCATACCCCGCCTTGTTTATTTCTCCCGCTTCTGTTTGGCTCAGCGGACAGGATGATACCGTACTCCCCAGGCCCTCATGGGCAGTCTCTGGAGGGAGCATTTACGGAGCACCTACCCTCTGGCCATGTGTAGGGATGGGTTAGGCCCTGCCTCTCCCTGATAGACACCTGCCATGCCCCACTGCAGCGGGGAGTGGAGTCTAGTTCCACCCAACAGATCCTCCCTACAAATTTCTTGTTATGGAGACCAAGCTGGACCTCCAGGAAGCCAGCCACAGGTCCACTATCTCCCAAGACCAGGTGGTTGACGTCTTCTCCGCAGTTCCAGTTGGTCCTGACTGGCCACTTATCCCTGTCAGAATTCTCAGTGGTCCCCGAGTGAGAGTCCTGGAACCCGGGGCTTGGAGGGACCCCAGCCTGCCACCACCTCCAAGTCTGGCCCTCCATGCCCTCGCTCTGGCCTCAGCCCTCACCGCTCTGAGCCTGCGTATTACTCCAGTCAGACCCTGAAGGAAGGGCATTGTGTGTACCGGGTACTCAGCACATGTACACTGATTCCTAGGCTGGGGCATCCACCTCCTCAAGTGAGATGCTCAAGGTCCTCCCTACCACGTAATCCGAAAATGGGTCGATGGCTCCTGATTCACTTAGAATGGCAGGGGCCCCTGCTGCTACTCCCTGCCCTCCTGGGGCTTAGGACAGCCAAGGTGGCCAGCAAGATCCCACGGTCCAGCCTCAGGGGAATGAATGCCAGTTTACTTGGCTCGGCTCCTCCCAGGCTTGCGAGTCCAGAGGTCTGGCAGTCCAGAATGGCAAGGGGCTAACCATGATCACATGATGGCTGAGATTTAGCAGTCTGGTGACCAGACCAGCAAGTGGTCACCTGCAGTCCGACCCCACGGTGGGCAGCCAGTGGCCTGGTGGGCTCTGGTTGGCTGGGGCTGGGTGACCAGGCCCTGGCCAGGATGGTGGCAGGGGGCATATGGCTTGGGCGATGAGGCCTGGCAGGGCCTGCAGGGAGGCACCCAGGGTGTCCAGGCGACTCTCCAGGGCGGCTAGGCGCGCCTCCAACTCCTCTTGCTGGACCTGCAGCTCCGACACTACTTCACACGCGATGCTCTGTGCCTGCGGAGATGGATAGGCCCAGTGACAAAGGAGGAGCCGAGGGGCCACCAAGAGGATCAAAAGAGCAGGGGACAGGAGAAATTTCTGTTAAAGTAGCTGGTGTGTGTGAGAGACAAAGACCTTGGCCTTGGCCAGCAGGGGCGCCGGAAGTTCACCATCCACACTGGGGCACCTGAGCCAGCAGCCTGCCAGAATCTGGCTAGATGTGGGTGCTCAAGCCACTCCCATCCAGTCACTGTCCTTTGGGCTGCCGGCCCTCGCCGTGCTGTCCCTCACCTGTCCCCACTCTGTTTGTTTGTTTGTTTGTTTTGAGACAGGGTTTCTCTGTGTAACAGTCCTGGCTGTCCTGGAACTCACCCTGTAGACCAGGCTGGTCTCGAACCCACAGAGATCCACGTACCTCTGCCTCCTGAGTGTTGTCTTTTCATTTTTATTTTTTATTTGTATGTATATTTTGAGACATGGTCTGCAGGTCATCGTTGAATTCAAAGCAATCATCCTACCGTACCTTCTGAGTACTGGAATAAACATTGTGGAATGATCCACTATGACCTTTGACTAACATCTCTGAATGCTAGAAACTGAGGCAGGAGGATCAAGAATTCTAAGTTTGTCCTTGTCTACAAAATGAATTCCAGGTAGACTGGGCTACATAATAACCTGTCTCAAAAACCAACAAGAATTTAACAACTTCAGAAAATATTACTGGGTAGAATAGCGCTGTGACGTGGAGTCCTGCCTCAAATCCCCAGTGAGGGGCTGAGGGCGTGGCTCAGGAGTGGAGCCCCTGCCTAGAATTTTCAGGGAGGGGCCGGGGGCGTGGTTTAGGGGTGGAGCCCCTGCCTAGAATCCTAGGCTGTACATAAGTTCAACACTGGGTCTCTATGTAGTTTAGGCCATTTCTGACCTCCTAGCCTCCTGCTTCAGTCTCTGGAAGAACCAGGCGTACTTGGCTTGCAGTCCCATGCCTGGAATATTAATCATGAATTTATATAGTATAGCCAAGTTGAACATAAACGGTAGATGCCTATTGTGGGTTCCCAGCCTCCTCTGATGGGACACTCCATCCCCTGGGTCCCCTACCCTTCCCTCCAGCACTGCCAGTTGCTCACCTTGGCAAGGTCAGCCAGCGTGTTGGCTTGATCATTCACCTTCCCTTGCTCAATCTTCACACTGCGCAGCCTGAGGAGACAGGGGCAAGGCCAGGTCAGGCGCAAGCAGGCTACAGACACACCCCACCCTTGGGATGGACATATCCTCTGCCCACTAGGGGCACATCTGTGGTATGCCCCTCCCCATGGGCGTCGTGTGCCCCCAGTCTTCCAGTCAGTCCAAGACTTACTTCTGAGCCCTGGCACGAGCCGGCAGAGCAGAGATAAAGAGAGAAAAAAAGCACAATGCGGTTTTAATGCCATGTAGCAACATGCTAAGTGCCTACCAGCACCTGCCCCCATGTGACAAACAGCGCCTGCCCCCAGGTGATACCCGGAGCCTGCCCCCAGGTGACACCCGGAGCCTGCCCCCAGATGACATCCGGCGCCTGCCCCCAGATGATACCCGGCGCCTGCCCCCAGGTGACACCTGGCGCCTGCCCCCAGGTGACACCTGGCGCCTGTCTCCAAGTGACACCCGGCGCTTGTCTCCAGGTTACACCCAACGCCTGTCTCCATGTTGCACCCAGCACCTGTCCCCAGGTGACACCTGGCGCCTGTCTCCAGGTGACACCCAGCTGTGGAGCTGCCACCTCCATGGCAAGGATCTGGCCCCTAGGGATGCCCCTGTGCCGTCACCCCAGTGGCTTCAGGCGAACTGCCTGTCATTCATCACACAGCCTGTGGGGGGCAGGTGCCACGCCCTTGGCTCCAAGGGTAACTTGTTCAGAAAATATCCTGGCTGGGGAACTGAGGCTGGCAAGGGCAGTGCCACAGTGATCCATGGAGTACTGTTCTCCCGGAGGGGCTCTTGTGCCATGTTCTGCAGCTAAATCCCCCCAGAGGCCATGACTGCCTCTTAAGGCCCATGGTCTGACCCTGGCACTGGCTGAGCATCACAGGCAAAAAAGAAAAGAAAAGGAAAGAGGGGCGGAGTGGCAGACAGACACGCAGAACATCCAGTACAGGGGGCTGGGTGAGCACGGAGGACCAAGGTGCAGCCTCTACAGGCAAGGACCATCGGGGCTGGAAAGATTCAGACCCACTCAAACTGCAAGTGCCCTCTGGGTACTTTTCCCAGAACTGTTTATTTTTGGTTTTATTTATTTGATTCCTCAGGAGCTCAATCACTAGCTCCACTGTGGGGGCTCTCCTACCCAGTGCCCCTTCCTCATACTGGCTCCCTCACCTCTCCGCCTCAGTCTGGGCTCTGCATCCTCCTTGCGTGGCTACCCAGGGATCCCAGTTCATGCCCCTCCCTGCTCTAGGCCCTAATTCTAACGTGTTTGTCTGCAACAACTGCTGTAGCATTTGGAGAAGGGCCATGGAGGTACAGGCGGCCTACCGCCGTGCCTGAGGGCACTGGTGACTCACAGTGACACACTACCTCTCCTCCCCCCTCCCCCCCACCCCCGACTTTCTTCTTCTAGAATCTTTGCGATGTGCGAGAACACTCCTTGGGTCTGCTCTAGGGCACAGCCCTGTGTGGCTGAGAGCCAGGTATGCGGGAAAGGAGCTGGGAAGGTGCCGGACTTACTGATGGATGGCTTGGAGGAACTTACGCTGGTGTTTCCGAACCCGGCCTTGGTCTGGCTTCTTCACTAGCCTGCTGTGTTTGTAGATGAGCCAAGTCTCCCTGAGAACGTTTGCAGCAGCATTTTTGACCTGGGGAGCAGAAGAAAACAGTTTCTTAGGGTCATTATCAGATGACCCAAAACTTCTGCAAACTTCTAGAACCCTCTGGAAATCCAACCTGTTGGGTTTCTGCTCTGTGGGCCAGAGGTGCATTTGATTCCCACAGCTAATGTAACACAGGTGTCGGACTGTCAAATACTGAAAATGGGAATTTAGCAACTTTTTTTTTTTTTGGTTTTTTTGAGACAGGGTTTCTCTGTGGCTTTGGAGCCTGTCCTGGAACTAGCTCTGTAGACCAGGCTGGTCTCGAACTCACAGAGATCTGCCTGCCTCTGCCTCCCAAGTGCTGGAATTAAAGGCATGCGCCACCACCGCCCGGCTAGCAACTTGACATATCCCAGCTGCTTTGTCTGCATTGGCTGTCAACCTTTGGGCAACACAGGTGTTCACTTAGGATTAATATCTACTTTATGATGCAGTAGCAAGTTATAGATATGAAGTAGTAGCAAAAATAATTGTGTGGTGGGGGTCACAACATGAGGAACTGTATTAGAGGGTCATGGCGTTAGGAGCTTGAGAACCATTGTTTTACAGGGTCTCGTATAGCCCAGGCTAAACTGAAACTCACTATGTAGCTGAGGCTAGCTTTCCTCGGGCTCTTGAGTGCTGCTGGGCTGACAGATCTGGGGCACCATGCTGCTTCATGTGGTGCGGTGGAGCCCAGTGCTCCGCACTCTGCCAACGGGGCACTAGCCACTCACTCATTCCTTTTATACATGGGAAAACCAAGGCACAGAAAGGGCAATGTACAAATGTTGATAAGTTCATGGTGTGCACTTAGCAGCTTGATCCAAAGATGGTAACACTGTGTGGTCCTGTCCCCTCCGAGCTGCAGACACTTGTGTAGTGGGAATCTGGTAGAGTCACTGTGTCCAGGGGTACGAGCTGTTTCTCACTGCACTAGTAGAATGTGTTAGTGTTTGTTGAAAGGACCTAAACCTTGAAGAAATCGTGGCAGAGAACAGTGACTGTTTCCTATTTGTAGAGTTGTTTCTCTGAAGGGGTTTTCCATCCATTGCATGACTTTGCTCACAAGCCTGCCTGGCACTCTTGGATGTCTTGCATTACTGGGCACTGCAAATGGTACACAATAAAAACCAAGGTTCATCCAGGCGGTGGCAGCGCACACCTTTAATCCCAGCACTTGGGAGGCAGAGGCAGGCAGAAATCTGTGAGTTCCAGGCCAGCCTGGTCTACAAGAGTGAGTTCCAGGACAGTTAGGGGCTGTTACAGAGAGAAACCCTGACTCACAAAACCATAAAAAAAGAACTAAAGATGAAAAGGACACCATGATCCCCTTCAGAGAACACATATCATAGATTAAAGGGGCTCTGTTATGAGGAACTTGTGCCCCAAACACAATCTTTGTGTACAATCAATGAATATGTTTCTGAATGGAGGGTAGACGTTCAGTTCACAGAAACCCTTCTGCCCTGCTCCCAGGAAGCGGCAACTGCCTCCTGGAGTGACTATCCTCTGAACGTCCTGCTAAAACAGAACATACGGACATGGGGGCTGCGCCTGGTGCGGGTTTGGAATGGCTCCTGCGTGACACACAGAGACAGGAGCCTACAAGGAGGGGCTCACCCGCTTGGTGAGCTGCGTGTCCATCATGAAGTTGTGCACGTGTTTCTCAGCCTTGGTGAGCTCCAACTTCCTGGCCACGACGGCCACCACGAGTGCAGTGCAGCCCGCTCCCTGTGTGGGGTGAGGGCATGTCAATCCCAAGGCCAGGCACGCCTCCTCCAGGAAGCCCTCCCTGGGCCCCGCCCCTCTGCCAAGGTCTCATTCCTGGTCAGGGTTAGTCTTTGAAGGGCCATATTGATAAGGTCAAGGCAACTTTTGCAGAGAAACATTCTGTGTGTAGTACTACAGAGTCAGGACAAAGAAGGGGGGGGGTGAGATCCATACAAAGGAGCTCCGCTGTGGGTTCTGACTCTGAAAGCCAGGCAGAGCAGCCTCAGATTCAAGGAGAAAATGGTGGGCACTGGACAAGAGGAAGACAAACGTGTGGCTGTGCCCAGAAAAGGAAAAGGTGGCGGGAGAGAGAAGCAGCAAGCCAGGAGCGTGGAGCAGAGGATCACTGGAATCCAGGGGTTAAAGGGCTGCCTGGACCACAGTAAGACTGTCAAAATAAGGGCCTGGGGCAAGGCCCAAACTGCTTGTTAGAATTTTCTGGAAGGAGTCATGATGGGGAACCTCCTTTAGCTAACAGCCTTTGAGAGGCTGGAACAGGTGTGGCGTGGCCTTTGGGTACCAAAAAGCCCACGGGAGAGTCCACCCTGCCCCTTCCTGCACACCACACCTGGATGTCAGACCCTGTTCCTGTTTCCTTGCTGTGACCCATGCGTTTCCCTTTTAATAAAGAAAAACCTTAATATACCCTATTTGAAGCTCGTGTGGGATTATTCGATTCGCGTTCCCCCATCTAACACATTCAGCTTCATGGGGCCAAATCCACGCTTACCGTGAACTCCCTCACCCCCTGCCACGCTCCCGGTTCACCAGCTCAGGCACGTTTCTCGCCAGCCTGCAGCCCACTTGCTGCTGCTCAGGAACCTGACTTTCCCCGTTGAGGGGGATCGCGGCTGAGGGAAAGCCTTGGGTGTCCTTCTTATTCTGGCCACCAACTCTCTCCATGTATGGAATCACTTTAATTGTCCTTAATAACTGCTCTGATTTTGTGAAACAAAGCATATTTATCTAAGTAGGTGACAGCCCACGTGGAACCGGTGCAGGAGGCTGCATGGAACCGGTGCACACTGCACAGGTTCCCAGAGAACCACCGCTCCCAGAGAAGCCAGGGAGAGCCCTGCCTGCTCAGTCCGTCTGCCACACGGCTGCAATTGGACACCTGCTAGCCAATAAAGATTATTACACCTACTCCAATTCACTGTAATTGCCTAGGGCAGGTCAGGAAATTGTAAAACTTGAATGTTATATGATAACTGACAATATTATCATTCGGGAATTTAATAACCATTGCTTATATTATGGAGGGTATTCTGCAAGGCTTATGTGATTTTCCTTATACATACATACATATATTTGAATTTTGGGAATTATCTTTGTGATGTAGGAGTGTCATATATCAATCTGTTGATTTCATTGGTTAAGCAATAAAGAAACTCCTTGGCCCTGATAGGTTAAAACATAGTTGGGAGGAGTAAACAGAATAGGATGCTGGGAGGAAGAGGAAGTGAGCTCAGACTTGACAGCTCTGCTCTCTGGAGCAGAGGCCCTGCTTCGCTCTCCTGGGCATACGCGATGAAGCTCCGACCCAGGATGGACGTAGGCTAGAATCTTCCCAGTAAGCGCACCTAGCGTAGGCTAGAATCTTCCCAGTAAGCGCACCTAGCGGTGCTACACAGATGATAAGAAATGGGCTAGATTAATATGTGAGAATTAGCCTAGAAGAGGCTAGATAGAAATGGGCCAAGCAGTGCTTAAATGAATACAGTTTGTGTGTTGTTATTTCGGGCATAAGCTAGCCAGGCAGCCAGGGTTTTGGGGACACAGCCCCGCCGCTCATATTTCAACATCTTTGTTTTGCACATTATATCTTTAAGAAAATGGTTTGTAAAAGAGCCAAGAATGAGGCACAGTTAGAGAGATACAGTCTTTACAGAACAATAATGAACAGATAGCTGAGAAATTAATCCTATTGAAAAGGATAACATTAATTCTACAGACATAATTTAATCCATGTTGAAGGGTGCTGAGAAATTATCTGAAAGAATGCATACTGTTGAACTTAACAATCAGAATCTGTTAAAAATTTATGATAGGTTAATGGATAGGGTATCTCTCCAGGAAGGTAATATGCACACCATCTAAATAATGTCCAAGGAGGAGAGGTTATCTTTCCTGGACGGATTTCATACCTTCGAATCATATGTTCAGAATAAGAACCAGTAGCTAAAAGAATCATGAGGGCCCTAGAACAACAAGACTGGAGATTCTGACTACAAAAAAGGCAGTAGCAAAAAGATTTGAAACAATTGGTAGTGCACGCCTTTAATCCCAGTACTCGGGAGGCAGAGGCAGGCAGATCTCTGTGAGTTCGAGACCAGCCTGGTCTACAAGAGCTAGTTTCAGGACAGGCTCCAAAGCTACATAGAAACCCTGTCTCAAAAAAAACAAAAAAGAGATTTGAAACAATTGAGGAGATTATTGGAACTGATGAGTGGGAAGAGAAGCTACAAGAATTGGATTTAGCCTCGTCAGTACAGGTCAAAGTCAGGATGACATTCCCAGAGTTTTAACTGTGTATCCAGTAACCGCCTCTGGGAAGCCATCTGGTACAAAATACCCTAAGGTAGTCAAAGAATATACTTGGCAGCCTGTAGGTATGAGCAACCTAAAGGAAATCAAGAAAGGCTTGCAGTCCCCATTTGTTAGGGCAATGGTGAGAATGTGGGCTTTAAGAAATGAGGCCATTTCATAGAACTGGCTTCAGTTAATCTCAGCAGTCCTAGAAGACGAACCCCAGCTGCTATGGAAATGCTATTGGTGGGAAGAGGCAAAAATTTTAAAACAACAGGGAAAAGCAAAAGGATTTGAGGCTTTCCAAGATCAAATTCTTGGCAAGGGCCATTACTCTGATCCTCAGGACCAAGCTCTTTATGATGACCACACCTCGTCCCTATGTAGCACAGCAGCTTTAAATGCTTGGGACAGGATTCAGGAACCAGGACAGAGGGATGAGTCGCGATGAGTCACATATTAGGGTTAAATGGGGCCAGAGAGAACCCTTAGTGACTTTTTACCAAGATTAACTAAGGCTGTATAAGAAGGACCAACAGACCCAGAAGCTAGATGAGCACTTATTGAAACTCTGACTTTTGAAAATGCTAACTTAGGGCTGGAGAGATGGCTCAGTGGTTAAGAGCATTGCCTGTTCTTCCAAAGGTCCTGAGTTCAATTCCCAGCAACCACATGGTGGCTCACAACCATCTGTAGAGAGGTCTGGTGCCCTCTTCTGGCCTTCAGGCATACAGACAGAATATTGTATATATAATAAATAAATAAATAAATAAATAAATAAATAAATAAATAAATAAAAAATGCTAACTTAGAATGCAAAAAGATCCTTGGGCCTTTAAAGGGCTTCACTAACCCCACATCAGATAGAGGTCTGATCTCCAAAATATACGAACAACTCAAGAAATTGGACACCAAAAGAACACCTAATCCAATAAAAAATGGAGTACAGACCTAAACAGAGAACTCTCAACAGAGGAATGTAAAATGGCTGAAAGACACTTAAGGAAATGTTCAACATCCTTAGTCATCAGAGAAATGCAAATCAAAACAACTCTGAGATTCCATCTTACACCTGTAAGAATGGCCAAGATCAAAAACAGTGATACAACTTATGCTGGAGAGGTTGTGGGGAATAGGGAATACTTCTGCATTGCTGGTGGGAATGCAAGCTGGTACAGCCCCTTTGGATGTCAGTGTGGTGATTTCTCAGAAAATTAGGAAACAACCTTCCTCAAGACCCAGTAATACCACTTTTGGGTTTATATCCAAAGGATGCTCAATTGTGCCACAAAGACATGTGCTCAACTGTATTCATAGCAGCTTTGTTTGTCATAGCCAGAACCTGGAAACAACCTAAATGCCACTCGATTGAAGAATGGATAAGGAAAATGTGGTACATACACAATGGAGTACTACACAGCAGAAAAAATAACGACAGCTTGAATTTTACAGGAAAATGGATGGAGCTAGAAAACATTATTTTGAGTGAGGTAGCCTAGACACAGAAAGACAATTATCACATGTACTCACTCATAGGTGGTTTTTAAACATAAAGCAAAGAAAGCCAGCCTAGAAACCACAATCCCAGAGAACCTAGACAACAATGAGGACACTAAGATAGACTTACATAGATCTAATCTACATGGGAAGTAGAAAGTAGAAAAAGACAAGATCTCCTGAGTTAATTGGCAGCATGGGGACCTTGGGGGAGGATTGAAGAGGGAGGGGACAGGTAGGGAAGGGAGCAGAGAAAAATGTAGAGCTCAATAGATATCAATTTTAAAAAAAGGTCAGATCAGTACCAAGAAATGAATGGATCCTGCATACAATGAATGTTGAGACATTTGACTATGGTACTGAAGCTTAGGTAGGAGAAGCAATTTCCAATGCTATGAGGGGACACCAAAATGCCAAATGTTCAAATTGTGGTAGAACAGAACATCTGAGAAGGGATTGTAGACAAGGAATTCCTAGAAATAATGTCTCCTCTGGGAATGGCAAGAATAGACGGTCTCAATCTTCTGGAATATGTAGGAAAAGGTTGACATTGGACCAATGAATGCAGATCAACAAGACAGATAAGGCAACCTGATACCATCAGGAAACTCCTTGGGGGTCTTCTTGCAGGCCCCCAGGTCAAACATGGTCCAGTCATTCCCAGTCACTGTGGAGGACATGTCTCACCAGGAAAATTAGAAAATCTAGTGCCT